CACCCTTCTCGACACTCACTTTTTTTCCATTTCCAATAGGCTTTTCTCTTTCAAAATATCACAAATTAAAATGTGTTTATGCATACGAAAATTACGATAGTATACGTCCGGATGTCCATTTAGAATTTCTAGCATGTATATTTTTCCCGTAAGAAATGATGTCCTACAAGGTATCCTACTGATGATACATCCTTTGTAAACAACAATCACATTAAGCATCATTAAATCGTCAAAGTTTGTGTCAAACTCATCTAAGAATAAAAAATCATTATCAATCGAATCTTCATCGATGGAATTAACATCAGTTCTACAACCAACAACATCACTAAGTTTATACATGAAAATAGTACATCACCAAGAAGGTTCATAAAAGTACTTGGAGCTGTGAAAATAACACAATGGTTCAACCTTCCACATCACAAATGAAAACAACAAGATACTAGAAAAATTAAAATTGCAGTCATATCAAAGTAGTTTCAAAATAGGTCCTCTCCTTGCTTCTGGCATCTTCACAAACGAAACCCGAAATCGGGATCCTTAAAAGCATTTATTACTTTTATATAAACCTCATTGGACACCCCTTCCATATTGTTTGAGATGTCTATGCAAATAACATTTGAATAAGGATCCGGACTACTAAATTTACTATCCAATTGATTAGATGATTTTCCTTGGATCTTTGCAAGCTTTTCTTTTTGGTAAAGTGTTCTAAGTTCAATTTCTTCATTCATCATACGAACTATAGATTACCACTGTGCCATGCAGACCTCGAGTTTATCACTTTACTAATCTTAGGTTCCTTACGTTGGCGTTCACCTGATGTACCAATTTTCTCACATTGATGAGTATTTGAAACCTCTTCGACTTCATCATCATTTTCCACACGTACATGACTCCCATGTTCAAAAAATCATCTTCTAGCTGTCTTTCTTCCTCTAATGTGTTTGGAAGCTGAGTGGAAGGATTGCCTAATCTTCCAGTAGCAGTAGTTCCACTAAAT